CAGTGTAGTCCTGTTTCTCTGACTGTGACTAACTGGATGTGCTCTGTTCATCCTCTGCCATGGGAGCTGGCTCAGCAGGTGGCCGCTCACACTGACCCTGGTTCTGCTGGAGGTTTCTTCCTGTTCAAAGGTAATTATTCCTCTCCACTGTTGCTACAAGCATGCTTAGTGTGAGGAAATGCATCCGAGTCAATGAGTTGATGCAATCAACTGGTTTTCCTTAGATGGAAAACTTTAAATCAATCTGACTGGATGATCTGGTTGAATTGCAAAGTGCAGTCAGATGACGTGGTTTGAATTGGTGCTATAGAAATAAACTGAATTGAAATATCTGGGTGTTGTACTTCTCTGCCATTCCTACCTGGGTCGTTGATGGTGCTGGAAGAGTTTCTCAGGTAATCCAGCAGAATGTTTGCCAATTCCTGTGCCCTCTGGGTGGTTATGGAGTCAAAAACTTCAGCTAATCCGTTCACACTGTAAATATACCAACATTAGCAGATCTACTTTATAGTTCAAGAAGCCATATAATGCAAAATTGACTTTTTTCTTTTTAGGTTTTTAACCTTTCTAAAGTTACTTCATCATGAAAATCTTTATATGAATATTACTTTTGTTCATTCAACTCCTTTAACAGTAATATTTTCTACTTGGCTAATCAAACCAAAGTCCAACAGAAGTTGATCAGATTTTCTCCTTATTCATTGTGAGGTCCATATTTATCCTACGTCCTTGTATTAAACCAAACATGGATGACCTAGTGATATTAGGAAAACACCCAGAGGATGTGACAATCAAAATAAGGATAAACTTTATGATTACCTAAGCAGGAAATCATTCAGAAGAGATGAGGTTTTACTTAGGAACTCCAAATTAGGGCTGCAACTAATGATTATTTTGCAAATTGATTAAACTGTTGATTATTTTTTTTTAAATTAATGGCTTGATAATCAGATAGCCAAAGGTTCCTTAAAGATGATTTTTTTTAATGAAATTAAGCCAGGTGAAACTGAAGCTTTTCCACATGAATAGTTTTGGATATAGCAGATTCTTGCTCTAAGTGGGTCACTCTGTCAGGTAAAGACATGATTTAGAGTCTCTATAGTCCAGTTAACAATTAATTATTTACTAAATTAATTTAAATTTTTTAAATTTCAATAATCACAATTAATTGTTTCAGACAAACTTCAAACCAACATTTTGGGGGGTTTTTTACCTTCTTTTACTCTGAACAGCTTGGAGAACTTTGGCCAGTACCAGGAATTCAGTACCGGGAAAGTGAATTCTCAGTGTTTAGTCCTTAAATCTGACAGATTTCTACGACGACATGCGTAATAAACACTCATACAAGCAGTTCTATCTAAAACACACAAGTCTAAAGTACTCTGCGTGCACATTTTTAAGGTTTTACGTGTGCACATCAAGTACCACGAGTGCACGTTTCCCTGAATTCTGACTTGATACGATTCCATCCATGAAAGCAGCTGGGAGGTAGCAAGCTTAATGTTTGTTGCATAATAACTCTGTTGTGCCTCACTTTGTGTTGAATTTTACGCTGTCTATATGTGCTAGTTGACACTCATGATAAAGTACAGTAGCAGCAATTCAAAATATCCCTTCCCAGTCAAACGCCAGCCGAATGGCAGTCCCACTTCCCTGTAACTCCCAGTAAAATCCCCTCCAACTTCCAGCCACTGGAGTGAGCCCCTGTTGCGTATTTCTTTACTCTGACTCCACCCTTTTATTGATTTACAGGATATGAACAGATGATGCTTCACTTTGGATCTTTATGTCCTCAAATCATGACAGAAAGAATATTTTAGTACAAGGAAAGTGGGGAAATTTTGAATGGCTACCACTATATGTGTTTGATGTAAACACCTGTGAAAGTTACTTAATTGAGTGCTAGCAGCTTCGTGTAGCTTATCATTTGAATTCGAATGGCTCACATGGGAGGTAGCATCCCAGTAAAACCAAACCTCTTGATGATAAATGAATACTTGAGTTTGAAATACAACACTTTATCATTTATAGGCCTAGAGTTAACTTCGGCTGGCATAAAAATGCATGACGTAGGAACTTTAACGTCAGATCGCCACTCACACAATGTGGTAGTTTGTGCAGTTGATACCGGACGTTGTGTTTAGGAGCATCTCTGCTGTGAGACTCGGTAAAAAGAGTTTCAGTTTGCCATGGAACCACAGATTATAGTCTTGGGTCCTGAAGCTGGGGAGACGGGCACTGATGATGGTGAAGGTTCTGAACATGATGCGGTCTCGAACGACTGGTTGGAATTGTGGAACCTGCAATATGATGACCCAAAAATGAGCTTTTCCTGCTGCAGCTACTCATAATGCTGGGTATAAAATCATTTCTAAGCATAAAGAAAGTAATGTTAATGCTCAGGTTATCTCTCTTCCATTCCACACACCTGCAGGTTTATTGTCAGCTGTTTCAGGAATTCATCCACCTTTTCTAGAGCATTGCTGCCATTGAATCGCTCAAAGACAACATCAACGACAGCTGTGTCGGTTGAGGACTCTGAGCTCACCAGTAACTCAGCCACCTGAGAGGTATTGAGGCTCGACACAAATGCAGTCTATAAAAATAAAGTCAGAACATGGTGATTCTGAAGTTAGAAGATGTTAGTTTGCACAGTGGAATCAACATTTTCAGGAGCTTCTTACAGAGGACAAATTTGGAGCGAGAAACTGCAAATCCTGCAGGCTTACGAATCTGAAGAAGATGCCAAGGTTGTTCTGCAGCCAAGCTTGGGTGTCAGTGCCAGATGGGACACAGCCTGAACCTGCAAAGCAATAAGCAAAGCTGGTTTCCACCCCAACATCACATTCCAGCAACAGTAACACATCTGCAGTTCTCTGCTAATAACCCCGCTAAAGAAGAAGACATTTTCAAATTCAGTTTCTACAGGAATAGAAGTCTCTGGAACCTGCTGCTCTTTGACTTGATGCACCCATAGTGCTCTCTAGAGGATGTGTGAAGATGTAAGGTGCTGAGCCTGTGCTTCCTCCCAATTGTTTTTATTTGGTTACTGTCCTTTATGCTCTCATTTGTTCTCACCTCCAGAGTTTCTTAACAGGAAGACTCGAATGAAGTTGGTGTAGATTAGTTTTCCGTCCAGCGACTGAGACCCATCAAATTCTCCACTCATAGACTTCACCCTTTGAAAAGACAAAGAGTAACTATAATCCTATAACCCATAATGGAAGTTGAGGTGAAGAGGCATAGAAATTATCCAATTACTCAAATCTGTCTTTATGACTCTGCAAACTGGACAGTACCTTAATGTACTCGCCTTCATTCAATTCGGCTCACAGGACATGTTCAGATGGTCAGCATTTAAACAATAAAAGACAATAAAAGGCTGCATGGACATTTAAACAAAGACCAGAAGAAAAGCTTACTCTGGTTGCATACAAAGTTTTTTTTTCTGAAAGACCACCTCATCCTGCCACCGTAGTATTTATCAGAATTTTTACGCTTTGTTTTTTGCAGAAGCCGAGAGAGGTCGTGTCCCTCAGAACATTTTTTACAGTGGTTTTCTCAAGAAAGGGAGTTAATTTTCTCATAATCTCAAGATAACGAAAGCTGTTTTCTAGTGATAACGAGATGATTGGTGTGTTAAAATGGAATACATCCTTCAATACCACAACAGCTGGAGGGGAGTTATAAGTATAAGTCATGGCAGCCTATGTGTAATTCTATAAATAATCCTGTGTGTAACTTTTAGATAACGAGACGACGGTTTGATGATTTGCTTCCATTTCTAAATCATAAGCAGTTAGCCCTATGCCTCCAGGTGTTTTCTGAACAGCCCAGGTGTTACGCCTCTAACAGGTATAAAATGCAATAATTAAATGAGTCCAGATTAAAGATTTTCATTAAAAAGATTTGTTTCTACTGTATTCCATGCAATCCAATCATCCACCACCACCTGACAATGAATGAAAAGAAAAAAAGGAAACTAACAACTGCTTATTTGTGTACACATGGAACCACGACTGCACAACTACAATAACTGTTTTCTTATCTAATATCGAGAAAACAATTACTGGTTTAACTGTGATAACGAGATAGTTATGTCATTATCTTGAGAAGGCAAAGGAAATACTGCACATGATAAGTACTCAGATGTTGTGACCTATTGCACTTAGTGCTTCCTAGTGAAGTTATGATAAAAAAATTGAGAAAAATCCAACAAAAAACGCAAAAAAGACATTTGACTCCAAGATGGATTAAAACTAAAAACTGCTGAGAATACAGTATGAACACTGGTGTTCACTGAAGAGAGAGCTATAAGCTGGAGACTAGGCTTTAGGCATTCAGATGTCTCTGTGGAGTTGATGGACGTATGACAAATACGTCCTTAATATTACTGATACTAGTGATAGCAATGCTTTTATTAGTCTCTACAGTCTAAGTAGAAATGACAGGGTAAATAGCCAGCTAGCTACCTATCCAGAAAGCTGGCTTGATGAGCTGACATAAACAGATGTGTCTCAATCTGTTGGCAATACAGTGGATCTAGAAAGCCAGATGGTGACAGTAGAGCCTGAAAGAGCCCAGCCAGCCTGCAATGTCTCACAGTTAAGCAACATGTCAAAGACCAAATGGTACTAATGAAATAACCTGATCTGCTGTTAACTCTTAGTTCTAGGGAATCCTCCCCACAGCTTCCTATGAGAACATCAAGAAAAAAAAAGAAAATTCTCCTTCCTATCAAACACAAACAGAGACACATCAATGTAAAAACAATCAATCGATCTACAAACTGACAGACAGACAGAAAGGAGAGGGTAGGGTTAGTTGCTGTAGATCACTTTAATCATCATAGGTTGGTTTTCTGAGGTTGTACTGGGAGAGAAATAGGCTCTATGCACAGCTCCACTACTTCCTGAATTTAATGCAGCTCCTTTGTTTCCTGTCTTTCATGATTGGATGCACTGATTAATCCAGGTGTGTATGACCTAAGTAACTGGCCAGACACACCTGGATTAATCAGTTCGTCCAGTAATGAAAGACAGGAAACAAAGGAGCTGCATTAAATTCAGGAAGTAGTGGAGCTGTGCATAGAGCCCATTGCAGGCCAGTAAGGCTTGGTAGTAACTTGACTCCGCCAGATGGATTTGCTGGATTTCCTCCGCATATCCATCTGGAAACCTTCAGTTGAAGTAATTTTGGGAAGGGGTGAAAATACTGGTTAGCTGATTGGCCTATGTTGGTGATAGACGGGCCAAATAAACCAATCAGATCAACACCGCCAATGGCGTAACAGAGCGACGACCAAGACAAGCCAATTGATAGATCATACTCTTGCCGAAACCAGTCAGGAGAAGAGCAAAAACATCTTTTCCTCTGAGAAAAGCCTCCAGAAGAGCCTCCAGAGCAATGTTCTCTTTAGAGCTTAATGTCCACAAATCATGACAGAAAAAATATTTTTGTACAAAGATTGATGTTTAAAAATGAATTGTAGGAGACCAACCGAGGGAAATCAAAGAAAGTGGGGACATTTTGAATGGCTCCTACTGTCCAGTGCTAGAATTCTATTTAGGCTCAAGGATGATCAAACACTATCAGAATGGAAACAGTTTTATTTTGTGTGTAATGTTACTATAGAACTTTAACCCATTAATTAGATTGGAATCAGATGAGTGATTATTGTATTGTGGTTTAATGTATACTGCATGATGTAGAATGATAAGTGAACAGTTGTCATTTATAATCATTGTCCTGCCTGCAGTTGTCCTTCATGGTTTGATGTTGCTTGTTTTTGGTGATTTTCATGAAAATATGTGATTGTATTCCCATATGTTTTATTTTATCACCCTCCTGCAAACCCCTTATTCCCTCAGGGGACAATAAAAGTAAAATATTTAGTTTGAAGCTAAATATTTCTTTAATAAACTAAATATTTAAATGGTAGTTAAATATTTCATTACCAAAATAAATATTTAGTTTGGAGCTAAATGTTTATCTAATAAACAAAATATTTAAATGGTAGCTAAATATTTCATTACCAAAACAAATATTTAGTTTGGAGCTAAATATTTATTTATTAAACTAAATATTTAGATTGGAGCTAAATATTTAATTAACAAACTAAATATTTAATTTGCAAACTAAATATTTAGCTCCAAAATAAATATTAATTTAACAAAATAAGATTTCCTATAAATTAATAAATGACATAGTGTAAAAATGAATTGGAAAAAAATAATCCCCTTATTTTTCTCTTAAACACGCTAAATAACCATTAATATTGTTCCTGATTTCTGATGGCTTAACTTTACAAATGGCGCCTCATAGAATGGTTAAATACAGAGAGTTAATTTTGTTTCTCTGTATTTGTGACAGTGTACGGTAATAACAATAAAAAAGAGGAAAGAAAAAAAAATGTGTCTAATTATTAAAGACTTAAATTAGATTGAAAGGTTGATTCTTACAGTTCTTGGAAAGAGCTGCAGCTGAAGTTCTGCTTTCCTAACTGGATGAAGAAGCTGTCACCAGCATAGGGCAGAAGAGGAGCCATCTTCAAGGAGAACCACAGCCTGATGAACTCAGGGTCGCTGAAGTTGGCCAGTTTTAGGCTCTGCTGGACCCCAAAGATATCCAGGATGTCGACACCAGACCCATTGGAGCCCTGTGGTGACAAAGTTGTACTAAGACGTATGGGCCGGACCACCAGCAGTGATTTTACATTACTTTAATTCACACAACATTTAAATATCATCATTAAATTGGCTTATCATTGATTGTTATTTTATTACCAGGTCCAGAAAGACATGTAGGGTTGACTTTATGATCTGTTTGAGGTTCAGTTCCACCTTCTCCATCCGTTCCTCAGGCAGGCTGATGTTTGTGCAGGATAACTGGGCAACCAGCGTGTCAACTGCTGCAGAAATCTGCAGAAAGAAGAGGCAGCAGCAGCAGAGAGGGGAGTTAATGCTGACAGCTGAACACAAGGGGGTGCTATTTGTTAAGAATGCATTGCAGAGATTGGAAGGACGCTCACAGCCTGGCTGGCAGCTTGTAGATTTGTACCATTGCAAGGTCCTTGATGTGTTAAGAAGAAACAAAGTTTTAATCTTCTGTGTTTTTATTTTGGTACCTCTGGTTTAGATTAAAGAAGTTTTCCCTACCGTTTGTGGTGCCATTCTGCAAAATAAGTAGCAAAAACACAATTTTTATTTAATCATTTTTTTGGTAAAAGTTGAAAAAATAAAAACAAAAGGAAAAGAAACTTACAACTGCTGAGGCTAGTGATGATAAACATGCTGATGGAGAGGACAAAAAATATAAACTTCAGTTTGTTCTGTAGGAATCAAGATTGATGACCTTTCCAAGAGTTTCAGGGCAAACACTTACTGATCCCAACAGAGAAGAGCAGCAGAACTGCAGAAGTTCTGGAGAGAGCCATCACTGGAGCTCAGCTGCTCTCAGATTCACGATCTTTGATTGGGAGAACAGCACAGATTAAACCAGAGCTTCGATGATGAGATCAACTCAAAGGAGGCATTTTAAACGTTGCATAATTCATTAGAATCTCCTTTGTTGTCAGCTGGACATATGAACATTTAACCACAGATTTCATTTAAAAACATAAACACTAAAGGAAAAGTCCGCTCATATTCAGAATTCAAACTTTTGAAAGTTCTTTAAATATGAAATTATTCCATCCTGTTCAATAAATGATCAGTGTTTTTAATTCAGAGTAATTTTCATTTGAATGTGCTTTACTGGAGGCATCCATGTTTGTCAAAGAACACTACTGCCACCTACTGGTTTGTGACGTCACGGTGCGGTATCGGCTGTTGATCAAGTCCCAGTGCTGTATCTGGTGTTTGTCACAACGCGCTATTATCCAAGTCATCTTGAAAACATTCTTCTTCCAAATGTTGGCTACATATTACGGGTTTTTTCTCTGGCCAGAAGTTCAATGGCAAATCCTCCCTCTTCAAGGTGGCGATCCAACGACCAACCCGTCCGTGGAGGATCAGGAATCAGAAAGGTGAAATAAATCTTTTTTTTCACCCGATGTATTCCAGCATCCAGCTGCCATGCACGTGGGCATTGTCAGTTTCACTATAGCTCTGGTGAATTTCAATGGTTAAGTTCTCTGGAAATATGCTGGTGATTCCCAGTCATCTAGGTCATAGTCATAAAGCTTCAGCTTTCAAAAACCTACAATGCAGCGATTGAGTTGATTCCTTCCTGTCATCATTGCAACCCCAACCCCTTTACAGGGTAACAGAAGACCTCGCCTATTCAGCCAGGCCAACAATTCCCTTTAATGACCCCCCTTTCAGAGACATATACGGGTATGGGGCATTGCAGGATAACAAGGAAGCCAAACGACCCCCATTCCAAAGGGGTGGACCCGTTCATCTGTTTCAATTTCCATGTTTTCTAAACAAAAACAAGACTTTGTTGGGCTTCTGTATAAAACCTGGAACTCAACACTATTTCTGACATTTTGAATTGAAAAAGCTTCCTGGATGGGAAGAGAAACATCTTCAAACTTCAAAACAAAGTCCAGTGGATTGTTTTTCATTTTCTTTTTTTTGGATTCCTCTGGAAATCTTCAATAATTGTTGTTGATTGCAGATGTGTCTAGTAGTTCCCATTGATTTAGCTTGTAAAGCGGGGAGAATGGTGCTAGGCTTACCGCACTGTGACGTCACTGCTGGAAGACGGCAGGAGGGAGGGGCTACTATATCTGGGCAAACATGGCCGCTCCCAGACTCGGTGATCGCAACAACATTTATTATTTTCATTTTTTTACCTACTAATGCTAAATCCATCAAATCACTGCAAACGTAGTAGTTTTATGTATAGATAATGATTCATTGATCATTCCATGCTGACTGGACTTTTCCTTTAAAAATGACGCAGACAGTTGGTAAACTTTCCTGAATAAAATGCTCCAAATTTGAAAAACCTGTAATAATTCTTCAAGCCTTATCAAATTCAACATTTTCTCTGTTCATGCTTAAACCTCTATGACACACTATTGCCACACGTTCAATAGCTTTCACACACACATTAACTCCACTATTAAGAGCGCAATGAAGGAGAGATGGAAACCTAAGAGAGCCAAAAGGGACAGATTGGTTCTGCAGACGTCTTATAAATATAAAAAATAAATACTCATCAATAAAAGAGGTAAGTTCAGTCTTCCATGGTTTATTGTGCTGTTTTTGATTATTTAAACATTTTTAACTTTTCAAATGAGGGTGTTGCAATATAGTAACGCCTTATCCCGGCATATTGATGCCATGCACTAATATTCAACACTCTGCTATAAGAACGCACTGCTTTTGACTATTTATCACTCTTTTCTTCCTTTTACAGAATTAATGCAACAATGTACAGTTCCTTACAAAAGAAAACAAAACTATAATTTCCTCACTGGAAAAAATGGAAATCTAGATAAGTAATTTTTTCTTAAAATAAGTGCATTTGGTCTTGGATTGAGGAGGTAAAAGAGACATTTTGCCTATGGAACCAGACAATTTACATTTAAAATAAGAAAACACAATTGCATAGTCTTATTTCAAGTGCATTTTTATCTAATTATCTAATTTTAAGAGTAGAAATACTCATTCCATTGGCAAACTATCTTATTTGCCTACTCAAATTAAGGGTTAATACACTTAATTTCAGAAATTCATTTATTTCTAGATCGTTTTTACAGTTTAGATGGTAACGATGATGAATTAAGACTTAGCATTGAGTGAGGATGGTGGAAGAACAGTGAGGACTGCAGGGGGAGCGACGAAAGTCAGTTCACCTCGGGTGAAAGTGCAACTATTATATGCTGCAGGGACTGCCGTATCCCAGGAAGACAGGTCCACAGCCTGCTTCGGTTCAAAAGAAAAGTTGCAAGCTGCCTTTGCACTGTAATAAATAAAAATCTAAATAGGTCATTTTTTTCTTAAAATAAGCTAATTTTTTCTAGAATTGAAGAGGTAAGTGAGACGCTTTGCCAATGGAACAAGACAGATTATGTTTAAAGTAAAAGAAAACAGTTACAATGACTTATCTCAAGTGCATATTATCTAATTATTTCATTTTAAGAGTAAAAATACTCATTCCATTGGCAAATAATCTTATTTAGCTGCTCAAATTAAGGATAAATACATTTTATTCAAAACATTTTCACTTATTTCTAGATCGTTTTTGCAGTGTGGGAAGACTGTGCCAACATGTTGGGGAAGACCTGGCTGGGAAGAGGACCAGAGTTGGGAAAACATGATCACTGGCCTGCTGTCATAGCGAAAAGTGGCCTGTGCAAAACCCAGGCAGTACAGGCATTGCCAGAATGTAGCCATGAATTGTGAGACTCACCTTTGCCTCATAACTTAGAGGAACTGCATCAGTTTCCACAAGCATTAAGGCAAAGAAAGCAACATCAAGAGACTCAAATCAGTTGAAAAAATATTGTTTAAGTGTTGTAAAATTTCAAATAATTTTAATTAACTGTTATTGTTACTGGGACTGTTTAGGCTATAACCTGAGGTGTTAAATAGATAACAATATTAAACCAAACTGTCTTGTTTTAACTCATTTCCAAAGCGGCCAAAGCACAAGTTCAACAGAAAAATAAAAAAACCTTCTAAAAATGACTGTTGATAAGGTTTAATTGATGTATTTTATGTCAAAAAACGATCCCAAATATATTTAATTCAAATTCAATCCAAAGAGGATTAAAATAAAATAAAGCAAAGGCTAAAAGAAATATGCTGGTAAACCACAGAAAGAAACACAGCAAGTTGGGCTCACCTGTCAAGCTGTCGGTCCTCTGAGGGAGGAGATGATGGAAACCGGAGAGCGGATGACACTTATAGGATGAGGCAGCTGGAATCTGCAGAAACTGGGTGGAGAAAAAAAAAAAAAACAGGATCCTTTCATCAGAAACAGAAATGAAACTAAACATTCCTCCATCAAGTTTTGCTAAATTCCACTTTAATGGAATCACTTCTATTATTTGTTGCTAATGATGTGGATTTTCTATTTACTGTTTAACCATCCATCATCTTCCTCCCAGCTGTCAGGGTCACAGAGCTGGAGCTCGTCTGCAGCACATCATACAGCGCCAGTTTGCAGCTTTTATTGCAGTGTTTTTTTAATTAGTGTGTGTTTTGTTTGTTAGCATCATCAGCGGTTCCCAAAGCGAGGTCAGGGGTCCCTCGGGGGGTCCAAGGTATCAAGTGGAAGGTCAAGAGTTGATTTTCATATCCTTTGTGAGATGATCCCTGAAGTTTGTGGATTTTACAAAATATATCAGAAAATACATTAATGTGAAAAAGAAATAGATAAAATATGATAAAACCTGCATAAGTTACAGTTCACTGTATTACATGATGTCCTCTTAAGTACTGAAATTATAAAGCTAATTTTTAAATGTAATATAAAAATATATTTCAATGAATATAGTTACTTCCCTTTATCTGTACAAATAAACGTAGCGAGAAGTAACTGTTTGCATTTTATGCCTGTTGAACCCCTGATTTCCGTATTTTCAGCAGGTTTTGTGTTTGAACACGTTTCCACTTTTTAACGTTCATAAAATATTTTCATAACTTTTGTGATTGTGAGTCGATTTACTACTAGTTGAATGACCCCCATCTGTCGTAGTCCAGATGTGTATCACTTTCACTGGCACTAGGCAACTTTGAGTAGGATGGCAAGAATACAGGGCAAAACCAAAGTTAAATGTTTCTTATTTTTAGCATCATTATATGACTTTGTTTTCCCACAGGTAGATTCATTACCTCATCGCTGTTCATCTTTCACAGCCACTGGAAACAGAAATGTAGTTCAGTCCAACTGCAGGTGACTGAGAGGTCAGGATTTAACCACACTATCACACTACCACATATGATCCTCATGGGAAATGCTGTCTTCCTTTAGGCAAGACAACACAGCTTTTGCCCACTGGGAGGAGCCAGA